CTACAGTGTACTTGGTCTACTACCTAACACCCCCAAAATCCGAGAAGGTCCATTTTGCTGATCCACTGCCTTAAATGTAGTGGAGGGAAAGCAAATTGGTTAGGTTTTGGACGCCGTGAAAAGAAAATGTATTTTGCCCTGTCAGCTTTTTCTCTAGTTTAACAGCCCTTCATGGGGGGTATTTTATGAGTTAGGCTCAGTTTTTTGCTTCCTGTGTGGCATTATCAGTCGTAAAGATGAAAATTTTTGCAACGATAGGTCAATGTAACATCGGACAAAGTACATAGTTTTTCAGCAAGTCGTAACGTTATCTAAATCGAATTCAAAGTGGTAGTGCTGTTGTTATCAGAATGAGCGACATTGTTATTTGGCTACTGATTCAAGCATATCATATTGATAAGGAGAGATAATCCTGTCAAAAATTTGCTCTGATTTCCTGCATATTTGCACCAATGCCGGTAAATGCTTACGTAGCCATGTATCCGATAAGAGGAAATAATCCTTTGAAGAAAACGCTTGATTTTTTTTTTACAATTCCATTGGCGGCACCCTACAGTTGCGTGACTGTAGGGTGCCGCCAACGCCGTGACGCGACTGTTACGTAGGTGCATAGTTTTGGGCAACAATACTTAAGTGCGAGTAGAAGAGACTGAAACCTTTTCTTAGATAGGATCTACAAGGGAAGTATCTCCAGAGGCCGTAACATTTCAGTCTTGAACGCTGATTTCAAATGTTCCAGCGGAACACTCTTCTAAAAGGAGTCATGGAAGCCTGAAATTGTTTTGGGTGCTTTTTGAATATACAGACGCTGCCGTGTACATTAGTGGTGCCGTAGTGTAGTGGTCAGCGTGATGGCATTAGAGTGGAGACCAAGGGTTTGATTGTGCAACCCTTTTTGGTGTGAGTCTGATACGCACTTGAAATCGTCTGCACACACTCGAGTAATGTCTTTGACAAATTTGACCTCAAAGAAGCGAATTTTCTGGCATGCTGATTTCGATAAGAGTCTGAAGTTTCCAAACCAAAACCTCAACAGGCAGCAAACAGGCGGTGCTAGACAATTTGCTTCTTCAAGGTGATATGTCAAAGGCATTACTGTAAATGTCTGCAAACGATTTCAAAGCCTATGAGACTCACATGCAAACTGCAAAACTGTTGTTCGCCACAGGAATCGAACCCTTGACCTCTCAACTCGAATGCCATCACGTTAAACACTACACTACTGCACCGGTGATGTACACGCAGCGTCCGTATACTCAGAGAGGGCCCAAAATCAGGATTTTCAGGCTTCCATAACCCCTTCCAGAAGAGCGTTCCGCAGAAACGGAATGCAGCTCTGAATTGCACGTTTAAGGCTGCTTCAGGCAGATGGCTAGTTGTAGCATCCACCAAATGGAGGAAACTATTGAATTAAAAAATTGTTTTGATGCTAGCCACAATTTTTGCGAGCTATATTTTGACATTCACAGCGGGACACGCATTCATCAGCATTGACTTCTTTGATCTGTTACAATGAACTGACTAAAAGTTGAGTAGCTTTTTTGCAGGAAACTTCGCTCAAAATATATCGTGACATGACTCAGTTAAACATTATGGATCACATTCTTTATGATTCTCAGCGACAGGGACGAATCTCTTTTTATATGACCAACTTTGGAGAAGAGGTGATTTGATAATTTTCAAATCGTTAGCTGTTTCGGTGAAAGTGCATTACAGGGAGCCCATGTAGGATCGGCAGCAGCTCTTAGCAATAAAGATCTTATTTATGGTCAGTACCGCGAAGTTGGTGTATTGATGTGGAGAAATTTCCCACTTGAAAATTTCATGAATCAATGCTATGGAAATCATAAAGACATAGGTATGTTTTTGAAAATCTGAAATACGATTTTTGGGAAATAGCGGGTTGCAGGAAAAGGACGACAGATGCCTATACACTACGGTTCCGTGGAGCATAATTTCGTCACAATCTCCAGTCCGCTTACTACCCAACTACCGCAGGTATCCATTATTATTTTACGTTACTTAAAGCGCGTAAATCAAAATTTTTAGGCAGTTGGAACGGCGTATGCATTCAAGCGTAAGCCAAATAACGACCGCATCGTTGTCTGTTACTTTGGCGATGGAGCAGCGTCAGAGGGTGACTGTCATGCCGCGTTCAACTTCGCTACGACATTGGTATGTTTTCTGTAAAGAACAGTTTCTGGAGCCGCTTCTTTTTTAATTAGTTTTTTCTAAAAAGTGAAGTTATTATAACAGGCAACTCATCAATGCTATCGCTCAGCAGATACTTATCGTTGATTCGTTGACCGCACGGACAGCTCAAACGCGCGGATCGCGCGCGGTGCGGCTGAAATGCT